AGGGCTCAAGGTTGTTTGACTTGTTTACAGGGGATGCTTACTCTTCCAATATCTGTATATAGGAACATATAGGAACCTGATCCCACCTCTTGAATTTCCAGGGGTTGGTGTTCTATGCCCTGTTCCCAGATTTGTACTGTATGTATTTTTTTTTTTTTTAGATCGATTAATGTTTGTTATCTTCAGTTTTCTCATTTCTTCAACGTATTTGTCCATCTTTTGACCTTCATTTGTTATTTTATGCAACTTTTGAACATTAATTATTATTTTGAACAGTAATTATTTCCCTTATTAGTTGATACAAATGTAATGCATGAAACGTCACGTCTGACGTTAAGCAAGGTTCTCAACTTTTTCAACTTTTCATCTGCGTAGGAAAAAATGAGTGAACGATCAAGCAACCTTTAACAGGACTTTATTCTGAGGAAACATAAGATCTACGCAAAAAAAAAAAAAAAAAAAAAAAAAAAAAAAAAAAAAAAATTATATATATATATATATATATATATATATATATATATATATATATATATATATATATATATATATATATATATATATATATATATATATATATATATATATTGGATTCTGGATGTATCAAACCCCCTATATTATGTATCCCATAAGACAGTACACTATGTTATACACACTCTCACCATTTATGACCAGGCTAGCTATAGGGGCTGCAGGTTTAATAATCTCAATTCCCTTAAGAGTAAACTTTTTCATTCCCAAGCCCCTCCCTGATAATGAAGCTTAAATTTGAGATCCAGGACATTATCCAGCTCCTTGTTCTCTATTGATTTATAAGATTACATGTACATGCATTATACGCAGTCTCGTAAACTCAATTCCTTCGACGGTTAATCGCTCAGTGAATTTATTAGTGCACTTACAGTAAGTTGAATAGTGAACCCACCACATAATACAGGGTAGAGTTCGTTATTTAAATCGTGAATTACGCATGGTGAATAAGTTTTAACTTCTGATTGCCGAATCAATGAGAAATCCAGATTTTTTTTTTTTTTTTTTTTTTTTTTTTTTTTTTTGATTACTTTAAGTACAAGCAGTACATATTCACTAAAATAGACAACTCGTTATTTCATATGACTAGCTGTTATAAATATAATACAGTACTGTAATACAAATTTATGCCTTCCATATGCTCAGAATGAAAATTTTTAAACATATTGTTTCCCGCAGCTTTGTTATTTTTCAGCCAGAATACAAAAATTAGAATGAATATAGTTGTAAATATGTCATTTATTAATGACACAAAGGTAAGACATGAAAATTGGAAGATCCTATGTTTTTCTACAATTTGTATATACACCAGGATTTGGATCTCCCAAAACTTAAAGGTACAGCATGATAGTAATCAAAAATACAATTTTATCAAACACTTATGGTGAAAAATAAGGTGGCAACCAACAATAGGCCAACCAAAAACCCAAGTTTTATCAAACACTTTTGTTGAAAAATAAGGTGGTAACAAACAATCAAGATTATTTGATTTTATATCAAATGGTTAATTATTAATTTTGGACAGGATGTGTATTACGAGTAAATGTAGGTACAAATTAACTATTACTGTGCACCAGAAGTTATCTCCCTTTTCAATAGGCCAACAAACAAAATGATAATAACACTATGTAAAGAATTAACTACCAATGGGACGGTTGAACGGGGTGGTGGTGGGTATGTTTTCCTTTACAAATTTCAGCGTGCACAGACACTTGCAGCTTGAGCATCTAATATTGATACTGATCATGTGATCACATTGTAACTATTAGCTAAACACCGCAAGGTCCCTAAAATCTGAGACTAATCATTACATAACATGCAAGTAGTTTACGAAGCCTAAGTTAACACTTTACATAATATACAGATAGCTAAATTGTTAACAGAAAAATTCTTAGATACATATGAATGCATAAAACATATTATCTCCAATTTATTTCCAATAATATTACAATATGTCGAAAACTGGAAATATTAATCTGAAAATGAACATAGGATCCAATATCAATATCCCTGTATCTTTTTCGTGCTTGAAGTGATTACATCAAACCTTTTAGGAAGAATAACTGAGCAGTATCATTGATCAGAAGAACGCATTATTACTTTTGTGGAAATTGATACATCGAGACTGTTATCAAAATACCCATCTATGCTGCGTGCTTAACGAGGTTTGCTCCTGAGATTTCGAGGAGATTTATATCTTAACCTATATTTCAAAATTCTGCATAAAGTTTTAATTCTTACAATAATTTTGGATTCTACAATGCTAAATAAACTATATTTAGTTAAAACTCCATTATTAAATTCCATACCAAAAGCATTAAGTGAGGAACCATATTTTGTGGCGGAAGGTTTTTTTTAGAAGAAAATGATCATTTTTTCTCTTACGAAGTACTTAAAGTATGTTATATTTGGATTCCTATTTTTACATGCAGTCTGCACATAGAGTTATTTTGTGCAGTGAACTGTTTTATACTGGTCCTAAATTATATATTAAATAAACTGTCATGAATTCTATCATCATATATGATAAATATAGCAAATATATTGTGAAAATCAAGAAAGAAATATCCCTATTTTAAGCTTAAAATTAGCACTATTTTAGTAATATCTAAAATTAACATCAGAGACCCCCAATTTTTATTTTATTTTCTGAATATATAAGATACTTTTAACCATTCTTCTTAATTTCAGTAAAATGTCATTACTTTCAAATGATATTTTTGCTTGTTAAATTTTTAATGGCAGAAAAATGAAATTTTTTGAGTGCAAAAAGGTCAAATAATTGAACATGCGGAGTAATTTGAAAAAAAAATTTTCGTTGTCACAAATTTTAATGTGTCTATTCAAGATGAAATAAGACTGTGTTTGTTCCCATAATTTATTTGAATAAAAAATATTGGAGGAAAAACTTTAAAAATTGATTTATGTGTAAGACATATTTACAGTGCAAAAAGGTCAAACTAAATGCTCTGTAGCGCCAAAAGACGCGCATTGACCCCCTTTTTTGTTTTGATTTTTAATCAAGCTATGTGTATAAATTCTAAAAATATACTTGATAAAAAATGCTCATTACTTTTGATGGCAAGATCCAACCTCCTTAAGATAAGATAAATTAAATCTATGTATTTTCATCCATTTCGATTTTTTTGTGCTTAGCTCTAACTTGTCTTATTAGAAGAACATCTCTTGCATATTTTATCTCCGACCCTTTCTTTTTCACACCATTCTTGCTTCTCTAAATAATATTTGTTGTATATTAGATATACTAAATATACGTTTGCACTCATTCGATTAAGAAAGGTTGGACAAATCAAGTAAAACTAGAAATTCGGGATTATAATGCAGCAATTTTTGGAAATGGACGCAACGACTACAATGCTAAACACGAACATTAACAAAATAGGGAAATCTCTAAACAGTTGTGTGATTCTTGAATTCAAAGTGTTAATATGTTGCTTGGATTATCATTTTTGCTGAAAATAAACGATATAAAAACATTATCAGCTTTCTAACCCCTTAGTGTTTAGATGTATTATGCCACGAAATCGTTATCGTCGTTTGATAAAGAATACAATAACTTTTTTTTAATCGTATGTGTTCCGTAGGTACAAACTTAAATGATATCGATAAATCATTTCTTTCATCAAAAATATCGATTTTAACAGGAACATTGATCTTAAACAAATAAAATAACGAGAAAATTCGAAGAGGACCCAAAGGAGAAGCTAAAAGTGATGCATTGATAACATCTGCATTCCATAGTAATGGGAAATCGAACATTATAAACTGAATATGCACAACTTTGATATCCGTAATCGATAAATGTATATGATTAACGATATAGTGTTTTTTTTATTCCTGGTCATTGATAAACAAAAAAAAATACATTAGTTCCTGGTTTCAATATACTAGTATATAAGATAACCTTAAAGACCATCTCCAAAATTGACACATTTAGATATCAAATCGTAAGTACATGTATGAACAAAGTAGGAAAAAATTTACAATACTTCTACATTATTTTTAAAATCGTTTGCCTATGTAAAATGGAGAAACAAATTTTATGTTGCGAAGGATATAATACAATGCAATTTAATTTCTTAAAATGCATCATGATAAGTACAGTGTAATATAATTAAACTAGGAACAGGCACCCAGGTGAAGAAATTAGAAAAAAAATCAATACTTTCACAGTGGTAGTTCTATATTTTCTCAAGGTTTGATGTAGATATTATGGAAAGTTTATTGATCACCAGTAGCGTTACATACAAAGACTATGGTAGCATGTTAAACGCTTAGAGAAGGGTAAAAGGCCATTTGGTAATGGCATCACTATTTCTTAAGATTTATCCCTGTTTATTAAGAAAGTTCGGAGTGTTGGGAATAGATTATGACCTATACAAGTACATAACAAAAAATTGCTTAAAGTTCTTTACAGCTTTGGGTATTATTTAATCACTATTTTTAAATAAATATGCTTCTATGAGGTGGTCAGATATATAAAAAAGAAATTCATAACATAGAACGTAGATAATATTTCTTAGTAAGCCCTACATGTATTCAAAAGTATATATCAAACCTTTACATTTTCAAAATAAATAGTAAGAAAACGCATCTGAACACATTAGAGACTATTTTCGTTTACAATTCTACAGTAGAACATCATCTGAAATTTGATATGCAAGTATTAATTGTCGCATATTCCATAGATATGAACACTTTTTAAAACTATGGAATTGACGGATCAATAAAACCAGTTTCTACAAAAGTGCATTCCTGAATCCTTTATTTAGACTGCTGCAATCAATGTTACTTTGATTCAGATAAAGGCCTTTATGAATAATAACATTATATATTATTTTCAATTTCAAATTCAATATTTCTTTTATTACATTATTCAACTCAACGTAGAAATGACAATGAAATATAGATTAGTTCTAAACATGTCTGTTTGTTGCAATTATTACGTATACTCAAGATTCAGTTCCGTTTAGATATATTGTGGGTGATTCTATTTTTTCTAAAGTTAAGACAGGCATCGGGCAAACAGATCCATTTTCTTTTGCTTTTTTCAGACGGGATCTACTTTCACATTTTCTTTCCTCTGCGTGCTTATGATTCGTGTATTCCTTAAGTTTGTTGTAGTAAACAGTAAAATTTGAAGTCACAACGGCAACTGGCATAGCAAGAATAAGAATTCCCGTCAGAGCACATACCATTCCTACGACGCGTCCAAGATAGCACGTGGGCACTACGTCACCATACCCTACCGTAGTCATAGTAACAACAGCCCACCAAAACCCAAGAAAGGCATTACTGAATGAATGTTTTTCTTCAAACTCAGCATAATAAATCAGGTATCCGAAAAATAAATTTGAAAGAATAAAAACAGCTATAAGAATTCCAAACTGACAAATACTTGCCCGAACGGCTAGGTTTATAACGTCAAAACTTCTGAATCTATTGAGGAATCTATAGAACCGGAATAATCGAAGCAGCCGTGCAGAAGACAGGATCATGATTACATAAGAGAATGTTTTGTCTTCCATAAAGTCTGGCCGGTTAATAACTAAAGAACACAAACTCCAAAATGCTATAATAGCCACAACGTCAATAACGTTAGGTGGTGTACAGAAAAACTTCCTCCATTTTATTGGCGTCACGACAATACGTGTTATGTACTCAAACGTGAAAAATATACCACAGATAAGATCTAAGTAGAAAACAGGTGGTGCTACAATAGTTTTGGTGTAGATATGGGGTTTCTCAACAGCTATGGTTTCATTGAAGTTGTTGGAGGTTGGCTGCCTGAGACTAGGAAGTGTACTCAAGAACAATACCGATGTTGACAGAACCACGACCAATAAGTACAGAATGTTGAAAACCTTTTTCAAAAGAGGAAACATTCATTTTTATTATTATTCAAAATGTTTGGCAATAAAATACTTCAGAATATTAATATAATATATCAGTATAATTTTTGCATGAATAAACAGTTCTTTATATTAAAAGCTGATATAAAAAGCTATTGAAAGAAAAATGTGGAAGATAAGACTACCGTATTCATTTTTTCTTTAATTTTTTTAAAAGTCCAAATTCTTAATTTATTTCTTTTTACCAGTTTTAACTTACGCTTGCTTTTCGAGATGATGCAGGATATTGCAGTGTTTTCCAGATGCAATTTCGCCAACACCCTTTGCGACTTTCTTCCTTAGGAACATCCAAAACTTTATATTTTTCAAGATTCTTGATTTCTTGCAAAATACACATGTCATTTTCATGTTTGTAGAGAGCTTTTAAACAACATTCACTGAGATAGGATTTGTCAATTTCCCAGAATTCAAGCTCGTTTCTTATAGTAGCCCCGCATATGTTTGAAGGAAAATGAAGCTCTCCCGTTCTGTAAAGATCCAAAATGCTATTGAAAACATCCGGGTTTCTGTCAAAGTAGAAAGACGCTCTGGAAGTTTTGACTGAGATATCTCGTTTGAGACAACTAAGTTTTGTGCCTGGAATTTTTTCCAGAGTTTCAAATGTTGTTTGAAATATGGAACCACCGATATTCAGTAATACAGTTGTCATAATGTATACTGTATGAACTTTCAAATAAATTTCTCACTAGAAGTTATTTCTGTAATCATTCATGAACCACAGCAAGCGATCACAAGCGGTTAAACATGCGTAAAATACATCTGCAGAAAAAAAAAAATCTTGTTATTCTTTTTCAAGTTGAATTTGACAAACATATCCCTTTTATCTTCATAACACTTTACTCCCCTTTTTTTATATAGGTAACTCTCTATAGACGGGTGCTTTTAGGAACATCTGGTCACTTAATATCTCTAAACTTCTTTCTTAAAACATGACAACTGTCTCGATTTTCTAGACTAAATTAGGAATGATGCCTACCATAAAACACGATTTAAAATCATACACGACCAATAACCATACATGTTATAAATACATCGATGGAGATCAAGAATATCCTTGTGTTTGATACATTCACATCCAACGACAGATCTATTCGAATAGAACCTTTAGAAATTTCAGTTGCAGAGTAGAGGAAGCGAATCGATTTATATTGAATTTCAATACGGTTAGATTTATTGTCAACGAGCCGATGCAAAAGCTTTCAGTTTCATTGAAAATGTACCATTTTATCTTTAGATAAATGACGTATTTTGTTATCAGGTAATCAGGGAAAAAAATCAATACGAACTTCTACCTTAATTCGTAGAATTGTTATCTATCCAATTTCCACGACTTCATCATACAACTTGTTAATATTTGATAAGCAGATTTCCCTCAATGAATCACTTTGATTAACTGTAATTCCATACATTTGTCTTTTTTTAAAAATCATCAACGGTGGTAATTCAAACAACATTTGCTTAAATATGAATATCATGCTGCATTAATAATTATCACTGACTCTTTAAGTCTTTCCCTCATCGATGTTCTTGGTAGTATTAAATGCTATGATAGCAATGTTTATATTCAAGTTCTATCTCTAGTCATCCTTCCTGTTGTTGCTTTATTTGAGCATTTATATAAAATCTAAAGAAAATAAAAATATTATATAGATCTGCGGAGAATACAGAAGAACTTCACGAAGAATTTTTGGCTGTATGAAAGTGGCTAATTAATAAGTATCAGCACATAATTTGGAAATTGATATCAATGCTTGCAATAACAAAGAACAGTAAAGGTACAAGTAAGCATAAATTTTAATGCAGATAGCAAAGAAGTGCATGTAGCTAATGAACTTTGCAGAAAAAACAAATAAGAAATGGCATATCATGCGTACGGTATTTAATGAACTTTGATGAAATACATATGGCATGGAGAGACATAAGGACAAGGAATGAGTGCAGTAATCGAACCTGGCGCATTGGTTAGAGAGTTTGTTCTAGAGTCACGGAGTGAGGAGTTGGCTCGAATCCACCGTATGACGTGGAGACTGGTCCTTCGGATGAGAGAGTATAAATTAGGTCCCGTGTCGTAAGAAAAAAGATCCTTCACTGCTCACCGTAAGTTCCGAGTGCAGCCCTCAATATAAGTAAAATATCCTCGAAGGGAAGCCAATAAAATTGGATGAATTACATATAATGTAGCGTGATGAAATTCATATGAAATTGCGTGACATATCTACGAAAAACGAATGCAGTAGTTAATGAACTTTGATGAAAAACATATGACAGGGCATGACATATGCACGAAGTACGTACGCAGTAGCTTGTAGACTTTGGTGAAAAACATATGATATGGAGTTACATAAAAGTACCTTAAGTTTTATTTTGTTTATTCATAAGTGAAAAGTACATGTAGATTACATAGAAATTTGAAATATCACTTGTCTTCTATATTTCCTAATTTAATAGAGAGGTTGAGATTTCATACGTGTACGTGTACGGGTACGTCTAGTAGGGGAATTCCCTAAATTTCTTGTGTATTACGTCATCAGTTTTGGCGTTGATAAGTTTTCTACACGTTCCTACAACTTGTAAAAAGGCATCTACACGTAGTTGTAAACTTGTAGCTTTTTCAATAAAAACTGATCAATTTATGTGTGAAACTGTTATTGTTGTTAATTATTTAGGATGTTAAGTTTCATGAACACTTATTTTAACATGTTTTGTTCACTAACTAAAGTCAAACTAATGTCACAAAACTACTAAATAGTTGAAACAGAGACACCGATTGCACTCTACACGTTCACGTTACACGTCATTAAAATCTCAACAGACAAATTACAAAAAAACGTGTACGTGTACGTCAAAGTTTGTGCACACGTACACGTACGCGTACAAGTTTAAAATCTCAACCTCTCTAATATCCATGCATATTTGGGGTATCCGTTAAACTGCAAATTGAGTTTACAAGTGTGAACCTGTTCAGTAATCTGGAAAATGCAAAATATATATAAACAAATTGTTACTTTTTAAATAAAGGAGAAAAAATATTTACACATATTTACAAGTATATGTAAGAGAGAGAGAGAGAGAGAGAGAGAGAGAGATCATATACTTGGGAATAGCAATAATATAAATACACTCCTAATTTCTATAAAAAGAATGCTTATTACATACAGCATAAAAGCTGATTCATGTAGAAGGTGTCATCAAAAATGTTATTTTCATATGTATAGCTTTTAAATATTCCTTATAGTAAGACGTAGGACACACTCATTAAGGAAAACGACAATAAATGACAATAAATATAAAATGAATAAGGAAATAATAGGCGATTTATTTATATGTAGCAGACTGGTATATTTTAAAAGAAAAATCTAGCACAAATAATGACTAGCACTAGGTCCATATACTAATAAATCTAGTGTTGAACCCAAGAGGATTTTTTATGGATCATTACCACCTGTATATACATGTAAAGCGAACACAATGTGTTTCAGATCATAGCCAGGAAATAACCTACCTAAGGTGTCTATTTCACACAAAGCTTGATAAATGTTTAAAAGTTAGTGATTGAAGTACTATTAGAGAATAAACAGATATAAAAAGGTAAGTAAAACTTAACATCCTTTTAATATCTGATTCTCCAATCACCCAAAATATTGATATATCCTAGCAACTGAATTCCAAATTATTCTCATGTATTTAAGTTGAAGAGTAGTATAAGGGAATATTCTTCGAAAAAAAAATTATTCAACTAAGTATTTAGATTATAATCCAATGTCTTACACTGACTATATTTTTATCACACATTTATTCAAATCATACACAGTCAGGATTTTACATACCCTTATAACCCAACAATCACTTACCAATTCATACTGATAGGCTTTCACTCAAAAGAAAAGAAAGAGATGGAGAAAAGTAAGGTTACTCTGGCTGTTTTTACACAAACCGTTTCATCATTACTTAATCTTATGACATTATTTTATTTTCAAAGATTGAACATAATCTAGTTAAATATGATTTTTTCTAAGTTTGGGCATTTTTTCTGTAAAAAGGAAATTTGAATCTAACTACTTCACAAAACATTCACAATATACATACATAAATATACGCATCCCTGCAGGATACTGCAATAATACTAGAATCAAGAAAAATGCAAAATATAAGGAAGAATCTGCTTTTTTAACAATATTTCTATATTCATACATACAGATACTCTTACTCATTCACTTAAGTAAACGGTTTCCATTTCTCATCAAATAAGCTAATACACTTGTTTTTCAATGCTCGTTGTCTTTTAATTTTATACAAATTGGTCCAAATAGCGTTAAAGTTGTGCAAAAATAAAAGATTTCTTTACATGTAGAACAGTAAATAATATGCTATTTCAAATGACAATTTATTCACTTTCATCACAATCAATCAAAAAGATTTTCTTACCAATAATGATATTAAATGAAAAGAAGTCATTGAACAAAGCATAAAAATTTCTTAAAAATGTATTGATGTCAACACATTTATTGAAAAGATGCTACAGTGTTTCACGATCTCTACTACAAAAGCTGCAGAAATCATAATCTAGTTTTTCATTTTTTCGCAAAAAGGTGGTTGTTGTAAACATTTTATGATTTATTCGGTATTGCAACCACTGTAAATTTCTATCTTTTGTCACTTTAAAAACATTTAACGAGGCCGAGTCTAATTATCTCTACCCTAGAGATTTTAATAAATTTTCTTTAATTAATTTTTACTATTATATTTATTGTTTTAAGAATAAAAAATCGAATGTTTACCGTCCCGATTTCTTAGGGAGCCATCTCAAAAGTTGTCAAATTTTACTATTGGACTCTATGGGAATTCGTTGGAAAAGAGCCAAATTATCATATTTTTCTATATTTTTTGTATTTATGCCTTAGTGATTTCTTTTTCAGCCAAGTACATTAAAGTTATTGTAAAAAGTCACCAAATTGTGAAATTTTAAAAAAGTTGACCATCTAGGATGGTCTAGGAATGAAATATATGGAGATAACGAACACTATTCAAGCTCAAAAGTCCATTATACAATACAAAATAGGAGCAGAGCAAACACGGACCTCCAAACATCAGAGGTGGGATCAGGTGCCATGGAGGAGTGAGCATCCCCTGCCGATCGGTCACACCCGCCGTGTGCTTCTTGTCATGATCGGGAAATTACAGAAAAATCCGTCGACAATTCAGTGTGTAAATAATGGTCTAACAATTAGTATGAAAAACGTCAGTCAGCATTTGACTCAATGATAAATTGTATTTGCTGACAAGGTCATTGTATCGACCATAGAACTTACGAAATGATGACTTTAAACGAGACAGCTGATATTCTTGTTTCATCAACTTATTTGTCAATAATTTACCTCGTTTTACAAATTGTACATACGTAGAGCATGCTCTTGCGTATCGAATCAACTGAGAGATATATACCCCGTATGCAGGTGATGAAGGTATATTATTACAAAGTTTATTTTTTTTCAATGCCCAATACCTCTTAAATTGCCATATTGCGGCATAAATATATATCGGTGCAGATAAATTATCGGCGCAGATGAATTATTTTGGTAAACAATAGCAATGTTTAGGTTGCTAGTATGTTTCTTTCGATGTTCTGTCAACAGTTTTTAGTATAATATCCATGGACGTCTTGAATATACAAG